CTGCGCGTCCTGGGGATGTACCTTTGTCGCGCGCCGGAGACGACTCGCCGCCGCTGAGATCGGAGATCAAGCTCTGACAGGTCGCACGTCGCTACTTTGACGCCGACGTGACTCACCCGTGCAGATCACATCAGGACACGGTCTCGACGCGCTCGGTACGACGCCTGCGACCCGTCTCGGGTCAGGTGGCACGACGCTCATCGCGCCTGCCAGCGATGCCGTGCAGGTTGCCACGACGAGGTCGAGCACGCTTCTATACGCTCGCCGAGCCTTCCTTTCCATCCCATTAGGCAGCCTGGGAACGGTGGCGGTCAGAGGCAAAGACTACGAGGGGTGGTGGAACCACATGTCACGGCCACCGCCGGCTCGACCCCACGATAGCCTCCGAAGGCTGACTTTGAGGCACCATCATCGGACGATGTCGACGAGTTGGGTCGCTCTCGCGGTAGCCAGATGACCTCCCATGTGCATTCCTCCTTTCGCAGGTAAGAAGCCGCCCCCGTGTACTGCTCGAGCTGCTGCGTCTCCCAGTGCACGAGCACTTCCAACCGCGCCCGCTCGAACACTCCCTGCGCGGCTCGCGGCACCAGCGACGTGCCAGCGCCGAGCGCGTTCAGCGATCTGCCAGCGTACTCCTTCGCACGTTGCCCGCGGCGCGCCGCCTCGCGCCCCTCACTGTCCGCGTCACGCAGCTGCTCCTTCTCGCCATCGCAGTTCCAGCACCTCGTCGCCCGTGCATCGTTCCGCGTCTCGCGCCGGCAGTAGATGCACTGCCAGTGAGTGAGGCGCCGATCCATCCGCCTCGTCTTGTTTGCTCGCGTCGGCCCGACGTCGCCTCTGCGCTCATCTTGTGTGAGCGCGCCTTTGCCGGCCTCCCGAACAACGCATGCAGGCAACGGTTGTGTCCCGACACCGAACTCCCATCGGCTGCAACGGCCCGGTGTACATCACCACGTCGCCGACCGGCGCGGACAGCGGCTGCAGTATTGCCACCGGCGTGATCGTTCCTCGCGAAGGTCGTCGACAGCCGAGGTCTCGCGAGCCACTCGTCGGTTCCCTGCGGGAACCGCTCCTCGATTCGTTGCGTCTCCGCTCGGTCGTCCATCGCCGCCAGCCACCCTCGGGTCGCGTTCGGTCGCCAGCTCTCCAGCTCGTCGTTTGGTCACCGAGGAGAGGGAACGAAAGCACACCTCAAACTGCAGGACGTGCATCCTGGACGCATCCCTCCTTGTCCCACTTATCGAATTTGTGCAGGCGAGAGTACTCGTCCGAATTCCGGCGTTTTTCATAATTCTCACCCTACTATACTACAAGTACCATCGGCTAGGGCCGCAGGAAGCGCGGGGGAGGGCGCTGGGAGCAACACGGAGCTCCGTTGGACGTTTTCAAGATTAGCGTGTCAGAGTGAAATGGAACTAGCCAGAGAGAGCGGCGAGAGAGAGAGATAGGTATGAGATTTAGAGTTGACCTGTTGTTGGCCTCATATCGATTTATGACACATGCATGCTACGACTGTACGACGACTGTACTTAGCCATGTATGGGGGCAGCGGTTACCGCCGCGAGCGCGCACGCCGAGCTAATGCCGCATGTGCTGCTGCTGGATTGGGAGAAGTGGCCTCGGGCGCTTGCCCTCGTTCTGCACGGGGTCGGCAGGCGCGTGCCTCTTGAAGCACTGCTGCGGGAGCGGAGCGCTCAAGTCCATCGGCATTCTCTGCTTCTCGGCGTCCGGGTCCAAAGCGGCGGGGTCGGGAGCGGGAGCAGGCGGCATATCACAATCAGCGCTCGGCCTGGCGATGACGTGGCCGTGCGATTCCCAGGCCTCGACGGCGGAGGCGAGCCACGACCGATCCTGAACGTGGTGGTAAAAGCCGTGTCGCATGGCGCCGGTCACCAGCTGCCGGTCCCTGGGTGGGCTGTCTCCTATAGCCGCAGTCACTCCCAGCTGCTCGGTGTGAATAGGAGGTACAGTGGGTTGCGGGCATTAAGAAAACAGGATTCCGCGGCACGCCGCCGTTTCTAAGCCTTTCCACAGCCCTCATCCACCCCACGCCGTGGTTTCTTAGCTCCGGCCGGGGCACTCAAGCCAGAGCGCCGGCCCGAAGGATTTTTAGGTAAGAGGTAAGCTGCGGTCCGCGAGGGCGATGCCAGAGTCTGCCGCCGAGTCGGCTCTCTGTCTGGATGACGGGAAGACGCACACACGCCTCCATTCACTCCATCCACTCAGAACACCGCAGACTTGGAAAGTGACAAGTGCGCGCGCCGCAGGCGAAGAGAAATTTTGAGCTGGGCCTCCCGTTCACACTCGTGTCTGGCCTTTTCTCGGGGCCGCGCCTGCGGCGCGCCGTGGTTTCTTAGATTTTTGCGGAAATCGCTTGGTAGGGTTTCTTAATGGTACGTTTTCTTAATGCCCGCAACCCACTTTTTCTTCTCAATAACAAGGCTGTGAAAGACTTTCCCTGGGTCTGTCTCTCACAAGCCCTCACTATCGTCGCATGCAAGGTTCTTGTTTCTTATCACCCTACTCTGATACGAGCGTCACATTGTAGTGAACAGGCCGAGTTCGCGGTTTGAGCGCCCAGCGCAGACCGACCGACTGCAGGGGGGGTCCGGTCGGCGGCCGCGGAGGACCGCAGACCGGAGGGGGGGTCCGGTCGGTCGGAGCGCAGACCGAGGGGGGGGTCGGTCGGGTTGGCTCGAGGGTCACACCGCACACGCTCGCCACAGCTGTGAATAAATTAGTATCTCGAAATACTAGAGACACCAAGCGACCTCTCCCCGTCTAATCACTCATCGTCGTCCGAGTTGCTGATCTCGAGACGCTCTACAGGATTGGGTCGGAACACGAGCTCGTCCATGTCCACGCTCCCGTCGTCGTCGTCCATGATTAGCTTCGCCGGCGACACACTGTACCCGTTGACGAGCCGCTTGAGCGCGGCCAGCACCTCCTTCTGCCGGCCGAGCGCGTCGGGCCGAAGCCCGTCAGGCACTCTCTCCCTAACCCTAGCCTTCTCCCGAACCCTAGTGTGTTTTGTTGCCTCCGTGCTTTCACACTCGTCTCGTCGTGTCCGTCCACTGTGATTGCGGCCGTCCACGACTACGTCGTCTCTAGAGAACGTATCAACCCCCTTCTGGTGCCGACCGCGCCCCCGCGGGGCACGGCCGGACGTGGCAGCGTCAACTGGTCACGACCAGCACTTTGGGGGAGTCCCTTCACGCTATCCCAGATATGGCCGGCGAATCGATGGCGGGGAGCCTCGGAGAGGTCCCCGCCAAAGATGTCGCAGTCATCGCAAAAGCCGCTTCTGAAGAAGCCACAAAGTGGCTCAAGCGCAACAACGTCGAGGCGGGCGCCGGCACGCTCGCCTATGCCGGCACCCTCCTCAAGATCAGCACCTCCAGCGACCAGAGGACGCGGACCGGCATCTTCATTCTCATCGCATCAGGGGGCACCGTTTATATCGAACCCCTCTCAAGCAAGGTCATCGCGAGCGACACCGACGCGCTGATCAAGCTGTACCAGCAGTCGGACGCCCCGGAGCGTCGCACGAGCATGTCCGAGTACGTTGAGCTCGCCTTCGCCGACAAGATCAAGTTGCCCCAGCAGTTTGGGGGCCCCGCTACCACCGTCACCCGCACCCTGGTGGACGACGCCGAGCTCAACCGGTTCATCTCCGTCTCACACGTGGACAAGCGCGCCCTCGCTGCGATCAACAACGCCGTCTACCAGGTCCTCCTCGACAAGATCGTCGTCGGCGAGCGGCCCCGCGAGGAGATCATGCGCATCGTCGACGGGCTTCCGGCCTGTCGAGGCCTGTCGAGGCCTGTCGAGGCCTGTCGAGGCCTGTCGAGGCCTGTCGAGGCCTGCCTGTCGAGGCCTGTCGAGGCCTGCCTGTCGAGGCCTGTCGAGGCCTGCCTGTCGAGGCCTGTCGAGGCCTGCCTGTCGAGGCCTGTCGAGGCCTGCCTGTCGAGGCCTGTCGAGGCCTGCCTGTCGAGGCCTGTCGAGGCCTGCCTGTCGAGGCCTGTCGAGGCCTGCCTGTCGAGGCCTGTCGAGGCCTGCCTGTCGAGGCCTGTCGAGGCCTGCCTGTCGAGGCCTGTCGAGGCCTGCCTGTCGAGGCCTGTCGAGGCCTGCCTGTCGAGGCCTGTCGAGGCCTGCCTGTCGAGGCCTGTCGAGGCCTGCCTGTCGAGGCCTGTCGAGGCCTGCCTGTCGAGGCCTGTCGAGGCCTGCCTGTCGAGGCCTGTCGAGGCCTGCCTGTCGAGGCCTGTCGAGGCCTGCCTGTCGAGGCCTGTCGAGGCCTGCCTGTCGAGGCCTGTCGAGGCCTGCCTGTCGAGGCCTGTCGAGGCCTGCCTGTCGAGGCCTGTCGAGGCCTGCCTGTCGAGGCCTGTCGAGGCCTGCCTGTCGAGGCCTGTCGAGGCCTGCCTGTCGAGGCCTGTCGAGGCCTGCCTGTCGAGGCCTGTCGAGGCCTGCCTGTCGAGGCCTGTCGAGGCCTGCCTGTCGAGGCCTGTCGAGGCCTGCCTGTCGAGGCCTGTCGAGGCCTGCCTGTCGAGGCCTGTCGAGGCCTGTCGAGGCCTGTCGAGGCCTGTCGAGGCCTGTCGAGGCCTGTCCGAGGCCTGTCGAGGCCTGTCCGAGGCCTGTCGAGGCCTGTCCGAGGCTGATACCTTGCTTGCCAGTGTCGAGGGGTGTCGAGGGGTGTCGAGGGGTGTCGAGGGGTGTCGAGGGTGTCGAGGGTGTCGAGGATGTCCAGAGGGTGTCGAGTGTGTTGTCAAGTGGCGTCTGAGGTGTCGAGGTGTCCAAGGTGGCAGGATGCAGTTGCAGCCCATCAACAAAACTTGGGCAGCAGTTGCAAAGCTGTTTCATCCCTTAGTTGCAGCCTCTCAGTTGCACCCTGTTGATGTAGCGCAACCTGAGCACAACCAGTATACTCTCTGTGTGCGCGCGCGCGCCTCGCCCGAGCGCAGCCACCTGCGGCCTGGCCAGAGCCTGTTCCTGGCTCGTGCCCAGCCTCTCCTTCCGCTGCCGCCGGCCTCGCAGTCCCGCCAGCCTCGACCGCCAGCCATCACGCTGCAGAGCCTGCGTAGACGCCACAGACGCCAATTCTGCAGCCCACAGCCCTGGCAACTGAGGGCGAGGGCCAGCAGTATACGACGACGACGACAACGACATCTCACACCCCGCGCTGGCCAGCGCCATCAGCCCCTCACGGCCCGGCCCAACATCCCTTCGCTAGCGCCATCGCCTCCAGCGCCTCCAATCAAGTCGCACCTCTCTTCTTCAGCGAATGCAGCGGCAGCACCACGTCAGAGGCCGGGCCGACTGGCGGCCCTGCATGCCCAGCCATGCCCCCCACTCCCCACCCGCTTGGATCGATCAGCTGACAGCTCCACCAGCTCCCACCACCGCGTGTCGTGTCATGAAGCATGATAGATAGACATAGAAAGCATGAACCATCGAAAGGTCTGGTCTCCAAAAAGAGCTCTCGGCCGTCTGCGCGCGCCCGTGCCCCGCCCCTTTTGCGCAGCAACACCTTAAACTTCATGGCCCTCCAAATTCGGGTCGGAGCGTAGCGGAGTGGGCCCCGAGTTTGAAAAAAAGCGACGGACGCTTGCGTCCTAGCCGACGGACGCTTGCGTCCTAGCCTCCAACAACGCCTCCCCGGCCGGCGCAGAGGGGCCCCCGGAGGGATGCTCAACCGCCCCACGCCGCGCCGCTTGCGGCGGTCATATTCCCAGCTCGCGGGAGCTTATTTTTCAATACTTGCCAAGCTGGAAGCAGCATAGCATTTTTTTCAAACCATTCGTCCTCCCCATTCCGCGGAACCGCTGCTCACGAACGAAGCTGCAGGCCGCGCCGGGGCAGAAGGAAGGAGAGGGAGGAGTTGTGTATACTGGCAGTGTTTTGACACATAATTTCCCCATTTTTTTTCAAAATGGGAAGCTGGAAGCAGGGGCACCAAGAGGCGCATCATATCTTCCCCACATCCCGCGGAACCGACAAGCTTCTCCGTCCACGCGCCTTTAGGGGCAACTCCTCGACCGACTCGTTGCTCGTTGCGGCTCTAGTGCTTCTTGCGGCCGACTCGTTATGGCCGCTCTCGCACTACGCCGCTCCGGCCTCTCAGGCGGGCTAGACCTGCTTAATATCCAGCCGGAGGAGCCGCCACCAACTGTCGCACCGGCCGACTCTTGGTCCACCACCACGCTCGAGACGCTCCCCGAGGACGCACTGGCCTCTGTGCTGGCTCAGTTGGGTTCGTCTGTGGACCAGCTCGTCGTCGCGTGCGTCTCCAGCTCCCTCTGCGACGCCGTTTCCCGCTCGTGGGCGCGCGACGCTCTCCTCCTCTCCTCGGACCCGCACCTCGCCACCGACCAGCTGCTGCTGCAGCTCACGCTCGGCCGGCTCGCGCGTGGGCTGGTGCGGGAGCTCGACATCGCGGGCTGCGATCTGCTGACCAAATCCGCCGTGACGAGGGCGGCCATGGCCCAGCGCACCATCCAGCGCCTCAACGGCACCAACGTCGGGGTCGGCTCGTGGACGCCCGAGCAGCTGCTTCGGGTCATCGCTGCCCTCGACGACCTGCGTGTGCTCACTGCGGACTGCCGCTCGCTCGGCGCGTCGTCGCCGCTGCTCCGCCTCCTCGCCCACCCCGCCGTGCGGCTGCGCAAGCTCGTTCTCCACAAGCCCGAGTCGGGTGCCGCGCTGGAGCCTGCAGCCGACGACCTCGTCTCGCTCACCGCGGCGCTCTGCACTCTGCCGCCGCCCACGCGGGCACTCTGCGTCCCGACCCTTCCCCGGATTGATCCGCGTTGCAGGCGCTCAAGCGGAAGCCTCCGGGCGGCGGCGACGCGCCCGTCGCCTCCCTCCGCGAGGCTTATATAATATATATAGCTCTGCCATTCGTGCGGCTGCTCGAAGGCCAGACCCTCCGCCAGCCCTCCGCCTGGCCCACAGGTGGACCTCGGCCAGTCGGGAGGCGGGCTGCGGGGCGCCTTCGAGTTTGTCGCCGCGCTGCTCGCGGGCGAAGAGTGCCGGGCGCGTGCCCCGCCCTCTCCAGCCCTGCTGCTCCACCCCTGACGCCCTCTCCAGCCCTGCTGCTCCACCCCTGACGCCCTCTCCAGCCCTGCTGCTCCACCCCTGACGCCCTCTCCAGCCCTGCTGCTCCACCCCTGACGAGCCCTAGCCCTAACCCTAACCCTAACCCTAACCCTAACCCTCAGCCCTGCTGCTCCGCCCCTGACGAGCCCCAGCCCCCGTCACCCACCCCCCTCTCCCACCCCGCTGCCCCAGGTGCAGAAGCTAGCGCTGTCGGGCGTCCGCAGCGCCTCGGTCGAGGCACTCGCCGCGCTGGGCGCCGCGCTCGACGGGAACCGCCACCTCGAGCAGCTCTCGCTCGGCTGCAACTTCATCTCGGCCGAGGGCTGCCGCGCGCTCGCCGCCGCCGTCGCGTCGCACCCCGCCCTCCGCTCCCTCTCGCTCGAGCACAACCCGATCCAAGACTCGGGCGCCGCCGCCCTCTCCGCCGCCCTGTGCGGGCGCGGCTCGCGCCTCACCTCCCTCTCGCTCCCCTTCACGGGAGCGAAGGACGGCGCTTGCCGCGCGCTCGCCGACGCGCTCGCGGCCGGCGCGCCCCTCGCCTCCCTCGACCTCGGCGGCAACCTGGTCACGGCGGGGGGAGCCGCCGCCCTCGCGGCCGCCCTCGCCGACCCGTCCGGCTGCGCGCTCCGCTCGCTCAACCTGGCGGCAAACTACCGCCTCGGGCCGGAGGGCGCCCTCTCCCTCGCCGCGGCGCTGCCGTCGAGCGGCTTGGCCGAGCTCCACCTGGCGGGCTGCGCGGTCGGCGCGGGGCCGGTCGGCAGGATCGCCGCGGCGGTGGCGCGCTCGTCGCTCCGCCTGCTCGACCTGTCGCACAACCAGATCGGCGACCGGGGCGCGTGGGATCTCGCCTGGGCCATCGCCGAGCCGCACGCGCAGCTGGTGCGGCCGACACCCGCGAGAGAGAGCCGCCCTCGCGCGGCCCCGCCGCCGACGCGTCCCCCTCACCCCTCCCGCCACCCCCTCCGCCCTCCCGCCTCCCCCTCACCCCTCCCGCCACCCCCCTCCGCACCAGACGACGCTCATCCTCAAGTCGGACGACATCGAGGACGACGGCGCCGCGGAGCTGCTCGCCGCGCTGGCGCACAACACCGTCCTCGAGGTGCTCGACCTCTCTGGCAACCGGATCGACCCAAGCGGCGAGCACGGCGCCTCGCAGGACCGGCGCGTGACGCTCGGCTTCCAGTCCCGCCCCTTCCTCCACACGCCGGCGGAGGCGGCGCCGAGCGGCGGAGAGGCGAGCGGCGGCGACGCGGCGAGCAGCGCCTAGGGATGCTGCGGCAGTCCAAGGGCCCGCTCTCAAGGGCCCGCTCTCAAGGGCCCGCTCTCAAGGGGCCTGTCGGGGGTCGGGAGGCGTGTGGCGGGGAGGGGGGAGGGGGGGGAGGGGTGGGATGCGACGTGGCCGGGGAGTGGACTCCTCGTGGTGCCGTCGGGGAAGGGAAGGGAAGGGGTGGGCGGGCGGGACCACGAAGCGGGGGCCTCAGGGGCGGGTGGTCGGGGGCGGGTGGACTGGTGGGGGGCGGGTGATGACCGCCAAGGCGGGGCGAGAGGAGAGACCGGTCCGAGCGTGGTGGCTTGGGCCTGTCCTCGGCGTAGGCGTCGCGTCGTGGCCTGTACAATTCTCTGCTCACGCGCGCAGCGTCCTAGGAGTCTGGCACCGCCTGTTGGTAGCCTTGCTCTCAGCTGCTGCTGTATTCGTTGCGTGTTGTGCCATGTGCCATATGCGGCGAGCGAGATAACATAATGCTTAATGGAACGTCGGTGGTGTGTGGACTGTGGTCGGTCCCGTCTCGAGAGCGCTTCCCGTGGTGTGCGTGGAGTTCTGCGGAGTATCGAGTATACGCGGTGAAATCTAAATAAATAAATAAAACGGACACCTCTCTAGGGCGGACCCGGCGTCGACGAGGGCACGAGGCGCGAGATTAAGCCCCGAGCAGCGGCGTGCGTTGCTTCCCCGGTGCCGCGAGTTCTTGGCGAGCCACCGTGCAGGGGTGGCTCAACCTGCGATGCGGCCTCTGGGCCGGCGCGGGGCCCCCGGCCCACACCGTGCGCCGCGCAGCAGTGCGGAAACGGGGCTCCGGCTCTATGAGTCTCTATGAGCACCAACTTCCCGAATGATTACGGTTGATTAGAGGGCAGATTTGGAGAGATCTCGAGGAGTACACACAGATAGACCCTCCAATCATGAGAAACCTCCAACCTGATCGGTCGTACTGACCGCCGACAGATCACTCCAGACAGCAGACAGGCCGACGTCTGCACGCGGCCGGCCGGGCGAGAGGCTTGACACGATCCGACCCTGCGACCCTGACGCTGCTGCTCTAGCTATCAGCCATGCACTGCTGACTGCTGCCACATGTGCGACCTGTGCTGGCCCACTTGGCGGCCTTCCCGGTCAGTGGTGAGGCGCAGTTCAGAGCTGTCGATGGCGCGATGCCGCACTGGTCCCACATTGGTGACACGATACCACCAAGTTTGCCGGTCCAAGAGAGAGGCACTGGTGCTGTCCTGAGAAGGTGCGTGGTCCCTTTTGACTGCCCATGCGCGCGAGGCTGTGTAGGCATAGCCTCGAGAGTGCCAGCAGCCAATCCGAGGTGACGCGCATTGCGTCAGAAGCGTGCACACGATGGAAGGACACCTTCCTACTGGCCGTACGATCAGGTCGTCACTGAATGCTTGATACTAAGGCCGCGAGCTATGCAGGTGATCAATTGTGCATCATGGCACGGTCAGCAGCGCCGACAGGCTGTCGCAAGGCGTGATAGCATGGCCGCAAGTACGCCGAATTCCCATGAAAACAAGTAAAAAATCTAAAAAAAGAAAAAAAGCGCGAAAAAATCGGCGCCTGCGGCGGGCTGGGGGACCCCATCTCCCCCCCGCATGGACACCCTCTGGGGCCCCCGCGCCGGCCCAGAGGATGCGGCTGGACTGGCCACGTCCAACGATCTCGCGTTACCGATGGCGCGCTGCACATTCGGGCTGCCCCTGCGCGCTGCGGTTCCGCCGGCGCCGGCCCCGCCGCCGGCCGTGCATGTGATCGGATGACGGGCCTGTGCGGCGTCGGATGACGGGCCCGCGACCTCCGGCGCAGGCCAGGCGCCCGACGAGCCGGAGAGGGATGTGGGAGGTTCGGCGCCTCCCCGAGCCCGTGCTCGATGGCGCGCTGGCGCGCGCCTACCGCCTTCTCCGCATATTTTTTCCAACCACGCGCTCCACGGGGTAGCGGCATCTGGGAAGAGTGCACAGGCTGCTTCTCGCGTGATGCAAGAGAAGCGGGAAAACAGGTTCTCGAAACCTCGCCCAACCTCGCCCAACCTCGCCCAACCTCGCCCGATCTCGCCCGATCTCGCCCGATCTCGCCCGATCTCGCCCGATCTCGCCCGATCTCACGACGCAGGATTTCTGGGGAGTGCGTGCGTGTGAGGTAAATAAATAAATAAAACGGACACCTCTACTAGGAGATGGGTAAAAAGGAACAGGTCCCCGCCCTGCGGTCTTTGTGCAGGGTTCTTTGTGGGTGTGGTCTCGGCGACTAGCCGGGGTCGTCCTCCCGATGGGGGACTAGCACTAGCCGTCTTCCACATGGTCCCTCGGGTCCCTGCTGCTCCTAATCTCTTCGTACATCCTCCTGCTGATCTCCGCAACGTCCTGCTCCCTCCCTCGTCTCGCCCTGCGCGACTGCTCCGCCTCACCGTCGTCTGCCCTGCGTCGTCTGGTGACGGGTCCTCCATAGTCGGTTGAGGTCGCCGCCCGTGATCCCTGGTGTGGACGGTTTTTTTTTGGATTCTCCCGCCTTCCTACTTCTCTCTTGGGTTTTTTTCGCGGTATCCGCGGCGGGATATGGCGGGATATGGCGGGATACCGGGAGATACGGGCAGATACGGGGAGATACGGGGAGATGCGATGAGATGCAAGGAGATACGGGGAGATACGGTCAGATATTGCAGAGATACATCAAGATACCGCAAAAAAAATCCGCACTAGGGCTGGTGAGTGGTGTGTGTGTGTGTGTGTGTGCGCGTATGTGTATGTGTGTGTGTGTTGTGTGTGTGTGTGTGTGTGTGTGAGTCCTGAGGAGCCGTGCAGTGCCTAGTCCCTTAGATATATGTCTGTGTACAGTGGTGCACGCCCTCCGACGTCCGAGCGGGGCGGGGTCTGCCCGTCGGGTTGTTGCCCAAAAGCCAAATCCCACCCAGGCGGGGTTGCGGTCTGTGATGTCTCTATTTATTTATTTCCCAAGGCACATTTAAGAGGTCTTACTTCTCTCGATGTCCCTCAGGACTCGCCGTGCACCGACAACAGCGTTGTCGTCGTCGTTCAGGGCGATCGCGCGCTCGCAGTGCCCGCGCGCCCTCGAGAGTGCGCTCGGCGGCATCCCACCGCCGCGGCTCGCAGCGGAAAGCTCGAGGAGTGCTAGGTTCAGATGCGCCGTGCCCATCTCGCGCGCATCGAGAGCCTCAGAGAAGAGCTGCTTCGCACGGCTAACGTCGCCCCTCTTCGCGTGGATGGTTCCCATGTTGACGAGCACCTCGGCGAACGATTCGGGTGGAACCTGCGTGCCGAACGAGCGCGCCGCCTGAAGGAAGAGCTCGTACCGCTCCAGCGCCGCGTCGGCATCGCCAGCGCGTTGGAGCACGAGCGCGGCCTCAAAGGTGGATCGGAGGCTGCTGCCCGGCACACTGAGCATCGGTGCTGGTGCTCTCGAGGCCGGCGGTGGGAGTCTCAGCGATACTGCGAGGACGGGCCAGAGGACAGGCAGGAGCCACCTTTGCATTCGCGCCGAGAGCATGCGTATGCGTGTGCGTGTGGGGATAAGGCCGACGGGTCCGTTTGAAGTAGAGCCGAGGTGCGGCTGCCCAAGACCTCAAGACCTACAGCGAGCACGAAGAGCCGACTTTTTTCTTTTCGGTGAGCCTGGAAGAAAGAAATCGGTGAGCGCCAGAGTTTTCCAGCCCCTGTGTAGTTGTGCACACATACACATACTATACATATATGAAGCTCGCCGTTTGAGAGACGCATAAGAGCCATAAGTGTACCGCGCCAGCTCCGCTGCGGACGTTGTGATCGTGTCCGCAACCTCGGCGGTGAGTTGAGGCGGCGTGTGTACGCAAGGGCATACAGTGTCAGCACGGTGACATTCGGCAGGTCGGCAAACCTCTGAGACATCTCCTCCGCCACCGAATCATTGTACGCCAAGTAGAGGAACTGCTGGGAGGGGTTCCTCCGAGCCCGCAACTCCAGCATGGTGCTTTTGCCGGCACCCGCCACGGCTCTCACCAACATGGCCTCGCCGGGACCGACAGGCGTCACGAGAACGTCTCCGAGCTCTTCGGTGATAACGACGCGCGATCGGGGCGCCGCGCCGGCGGCGGGGAGGGGGGTGGGGGCGGCGAGGGCCATCTGAGCGCCCCGGGGCGCCCCGTAGGCGCGGGGGGGGGCCGCGGCAGCGGCCTCGGCCGAATTGGTCGAATTGGCGTAGCCTCGTCCACAAAACGGACCCTAAGTGGGCTTGCTTGCTCCCTTAGCCAGGGAGCAAAAATGCAAGAACGTTTTTCTTTTTTTGAGAGCGCCCTCGTTGTTAATAAGAACACAGACGGATGGACATTTGCTGAAGCCACACGACATGCCCACCATGTTTTGACCGCGCAAGATAAAGGGTGGCTAAGGGCTCTGCCCGCAAGGCGCCCGCGTCGCAGACGCGGTACTCAGCTTCGTAACCCGTGAAAACAAAAGCAGGACCGTGGCTCCCAAATACGACAACGTCGGGGCAAGTTTGGTAAACGCCATAACATGGGCGATCCAGCGCTTCCTTCGATTGGACGGACGAAATGATCGGGGAAAAGCGCATCGCGCCATCGCGACATCTCTGGGGTCACCATATGCCGGACCGGCATAAGACATACCGGCTTACGCTCACGCCTGCGACCGAGGCGGCGCTGCTGCGGCTGAAGGAGTGCGGAGAGAACAAGCAGCTGCTGTCCCGTTGCGCGCTGTGGTGCAGCAGCGGCGCCCTTGAGGCGATCATCGTGCTCCAGAAGAAGCGCTATCCGTACCAGGTGGGCCAAGCTGGTGAGTGGGGTGAATGCATCTTGCCGGGGCCGTGGCAGGCGATCGAGTTCGACGACGCTCAGTGGCGAGCAGTTGCCATGATGCAGGGCGCATGGGTCCGTGACTGGACGCAACGGGGCAGGCGCACTGACCTCACCGCACAGGCCGAGCCGCTTCTCCCACCACTTCCCCCGCTTCAACCGCCGGATCAGCAGCAGCCGGGTGATACGGTTCCTCTACCCGACCCAGCCGCGCTGCATCCCACACCGCAGCCGCCCCCGATGCCATGGGTGCCACGAGAAAGTTTTACGTGCGCCGGGCTCACCGACAAACCGCCAAGATTCTGGAGATCACTGGCCGATGCTATCCGCCCGCGCTGACGACACAGCCACGATTCAATGAGAGTGCCGAGGCACAGGCAGAACGGCTACAGCTGCCTCTCCTAGACCCACGACAACCACAAGTGGTCAGCGCAGCCGCCGGTCAAACGCGTGTGCTATCAATCAATGCGGCCGTGCGAATGGAAGCAGACGTGGTACACTGATGCATTCCAGTGGGTTGAGTACAAAACTGAGCTGGTGCGCTTCTTACATGCACTGCGTTGCATTGTCGATGGTACCACCGAGTACCTGGACGTCGAGTTTGCGCCTGAGATGTGGCGCTTGAGGGGCGGCGGCGTCAACTGCTACCCGTGCAAAAACGCGCGGGCGCGAGAGGAGTTTGACGAAGACCCGTGTGAGCTATGCGGTGCCGGGATGGAGGAGCCGTGCCAAGAGCACTGTGTCATTCCAAGGGCCGCACGCAACTGGTGGACTGCGTACGAGGCAGAGCTGAGCGGACAATGGCCGGCGTGGTGGAGCTCAGGCGGACTATCGGATTATTGGATTCCCCGCCGCGGCTGGTGCGTTGCACAGCGTACTCTACTGCGTGTGAAGCTGCTGCTGGCTCGCATGGTGCTCAACCGTGGTGACTCGCTGGCCATGCGATGCCTCATCCTCGCTGGCACGCCCCCTACTCCCAAGTTTGCGGACCAGCACAAACCGCCACTCCACCAACGACTGCTGCACTTCCGCGGTGTGATCCACTTCAGCAATTACGATGGTGCAGCAAAGATGCTGGAGAGCATGCAGACGTCGACGTTGTATCCTGAACGTCGCAATATGGACATCAGCGAGATTGCAGCCAAGTACGGGATAGCCTATGGCCCGCAGCCATTGCACTACATCATTGAGTCGAGCACGTTCAGCCGCAACTTGCTCGGTCACTCGCTCTCGCCATGCGACTTTAGCTACGATCCGATTGTGGGTGGCGAATTTACTGATCACCTCTGCCGACGCCAGGATGGCATGTTTGATCCGGGCGAAGTGGGTGACCACTCGCTGGCGCGTGGCGGGCACGGCTCTCTCTGGCGACACAAGTGGGGTGAGCCGCCGCCTGCGTGGCCCGAGACAGACACTAACCTACCTGCACCGTATCGTCCCACAGCAGAGAAGGTTGCGCGCGATGCTGCCCACGCTCTCGAGCCAAATCTGCCCAAACCCGGAATTTGGGTCGAGGCAGATGCCGATGCTATTGAGCGTGCGCTTGTCAAGCGCCGAGCCACCGCGCAACGACCGCGCTTCTGCCACTGCTACTTCCGCGCGAGTTGCGATGGCTCGTGTGAGCCTAAGGATCCGTGTGAGGAGGATCGCAGGCTTGCAGAACTGAAAGCGTCGCACGACTGGCTCGCTGGGCTGGACGGTCCGGTACGTCTTCATGTCCGCTACTGCCACAGCACCAACCGCGTAGTTGGCTACGAAGGGTTTCAACACCGGAAGTTTAACTGGGACCTCGAGCCCGCGCAGACATTCCTAGGCAAGTGGGAATATGGCGACTACTTTGTGATGGACCATCATGCTGCAGAAGACATTTATCATCTCAGAGAGAACCTCGACTTTTTTCAGACGCCTTTGGATGCTGCACTGCGGGTAGTCGAGATGCGGGGCGACTACCAGCTTCCGACCGGATGGCGGTGGGACAGTGAGTGCGGTCCTGTGCCTCCACCATCGCCGCTGCCAACGCCACCGCCCCTGCCGCCACCGCCGCGTGTTGTCGCCGGCTACACACAGCTACCAGATGTGCACGCTAGCAACCCGACTGGCTCCTTTTCCATCTTCAGGCGCCCAGACGAGGGCACTGCCCTTTTGGGGCTTTTGGGGGTTAGAGATCATGTGCCCATAGCTGCCCTACTGCCCCGAGTCAACCGCTTTGAAGAGCTCCTGTCTTGGGCTGAGGAGCGCGCCGCTGCCAACGGCATCACTCTGCCCTACCAGCAGCCCGGGTTCAAGCCTGAATCAGTGATGCCGCCGGTTCGCACCCCGGCCGCCGCCGCTAGCTCGGCCGCCGCCGCTAGCTCCAGCTCAGATGATCCTCTAGATCTCCCCCCTCTAACCGCTGATGGGCCGGTGTCGATGCAGCTTGCTGAGCCTGAAGGCGAGGAGGAGCTTAGCTTTATGGACTCGGTGTTCTGTGACCCCCCGCCTCGTGGAGGACGGTGACTGACTTCTAGCTGTGTGTATCGCGCGCCTTGCGGGGCAGTCGCGGTGTGTGCGTTAATACCGCGCAAAAGGGCTCTACCCGCGCAGATGCAGTTACTCTGCCGCGGTTCCCCCTTTTGCGCAGCAACACCTTAAACTTTTCAGGCCCTCCAAATTCGGGTCGGAGCGTAGCGGAGTGGGCCCCGAGTTTGAAAAGGGCGACGGACGCTTGCGTCCTAGCCTCCAACAACGCCTCCCCGGCGCAGAGGGGCCCCCGGAGGGATGCACAACCGACCCACGCCACGCCGCTTGCGGCGGTCCTCTTCCCAGCTCCGCTGAGGGCCCGTGCGTTATTCTTTTGTGTTCAGGTTTGGCTGGTGCGCCAGAAGTTATCCAGCCCCTTGGCGCGTCCTTCTCCTCAATCGAGTGGCGGTTCACGAGCCTCTACCCGAAGCGTGTGTATATGAAGCTCGCCGTTCTCGTCGTCGTCGCCGTGCATCCTCCCGCACACCGTTTGCCGCAGCGGGCGGCAATCGCGATGGGGCTGAAGGGGCCGCCGCCGATTCCATCGAAGCACTTTGTGTCACTGACGTCGCCAGGCAACCTCACCGAGGCGCTCGCGGGCGCGGCCAGCGATGTGGTGACCGTCGTCAAGTACCAGGCGCCTTGGTGCCGCACATGCCGCGCGATGGCGCCGCTCCTCGACCGGCAGGCGAAGAAGCACCAGGAGCTTCGCTACTTTTCGCTTGAGTGCCGCCGCGACGGCAAGGCGGCGGGCGAGCGGATGCACAAGTTCTTCGTCGAGCGCGGCGCGAAGGGTCTCCCATTCGTGGAGGTCTACCGCGGCGACACGCTCCTCGAGGTGACATATAACAGACACACAGAAAGCGTGGAGGGATGGGAGAGCGGCACAGGCCGCCACCGACAGAGAGAGGGGTTCTGAGGGAAGGAGTGTGTGGTGCTAGCCGTCTCTCACGCTCGCCCTCCTCGGGTCTCTGCTCCTTAGGCGACCACGGTGGCGCCCACCGGCGTCGAGGCCTTCTCGCACGCCATCGGCAGGGCGATCGAGGCGGCGCAGCGGGCGCGGGCGCAGCTGGAGCTGGCCAGCGGCGGCGCCGCCAACAGGCTCCGCGCAGAGGCGGACCGCGTCCGCGCGCTGCTCGGCGTCGGCCCGGCCGACTCGGTGGAATCCGTGCCGCTGCCGCCCACCGCAGCGCCGCGCCTCGACCGGCAGGGGCGGCGACGAGGCGGGCTCGGGCGGCAGGCGGTCGCGGCTCGCCACAAGGCGGCCGCGCCCGTGCTGCGGCAGCAGCGGCGGGGCGCTCCGCTGCGGGGCGCGACCGGGCCACGTGGGAAGAGAGGGTACTCGTAGTTTTGAAACATGAGCTCTCCAGACTCCAGAGTCCAGTTCCTCTTGCTATCTTGAGATATTTTTGAAAAAGGACCATCAAAAGAAATATCATGCGACTGCGGACGTGGGCGGTCTCCAGACTCCACGGACCACGTGCACGACGCAGACACGCAGTGGTTTGGGCTCTCTCTTCCAGTAAAAGGGAAGGTGCCACCGTTTCTTTCTTGCACGACGACATCTCAGTCGTTCTTCACACGGCCATCGCAGAGCATGTGAAGAGAGAGCGGAGAGAGAGATTTTCAATACCAAACGACAAAACTCTAACACTCACTTACACACATCGTTTGGGGCCCGCCACCAGTTTCCTCATCTCGTCGTAGGAGGTGCCCTCAAAATTGGAAGCCTTCAAAGCTCCGGCCGCCGTACCTTTTGGGTTGCGTAGGTCGTCGTATGACAGTGGGCAGGTGGCGGGGTCATCCCCCTGGTAGTACGAGCGCAGCCAGACGTACATTTTGCAGCGCAGAGAGAACTGGGTGTTGGCATCCGCGGAAAAATTAGCGGCAGAGCGCGACTCCGCGTCCCACCCCTTCATCGGCCGGTACGCCGTCTCCACCCCCCCGTCGTTCTTGATCACGACCTTGTCCTCAAAGTGGCCAAGAATCTGGGCGGCCACGGGCGGGTCGCTCGCCTTTCGGCCGATCTTCGGGATGAACGGCTTCGGCGGCATGGGAAGCGACATCGGGTCGGGCTCAGAAGGGCCGGCGCCGCGCCCGCCCCGAGTCACCATCTCGACGCAAGGGGGCAGAGTCTGCGGGTCATTTGGAAGCGCAACCACTGACACGAGCTTGTACCCCCGCGTGGCCATCTGCGACGCCATCTCCTTGGTGTGCACCGCGTAGACAACGTCATTCGGGCCCTGAAAAAATTTCATGCGGTCCCATGGCGGCCGTTCTTGAATGATCGGGCGCTTGTTGGCGCCGCCGCCCGTGTCCACCTCGATCATCAGACCGGCGCCCTCCATATGCTGACTCCACGCAATTCGCGCGTTCTCAGCCTTGAAGTCCGCGATACGTTCGGGAATGAAAGTCGCAGTGATCACGCTGAACCGCTGCAGCAGTGGCCCGATGCCCGCATCCTCGCCGAGCGGCGCCATGCTCTCAGGCACCTCACTCTGAATCTGAGCGTCGCGAGCAAACCTCGCGTCGGTCGGCGTGGCTGGCTCCTCCTCCATCGATATGCGCCGACCGCGATGATGCCGTTTCCTCACTGGTGGTGACTGAGACGAGGGCGGGCTCCCGCCCTCGCCTCCCGGTCGCTGACGGCGGACCGGGCCCCCCCCACCAAAGCCTGATTGCAGCAACTGAGCTGCATTGACCGCCTCGGGTGAGGGGAGCAGCCCCGCGCCGCGTCCCCGGCCGCCGGTGGCCCTCCTCACCCTCCTTTCTCCCCGCATTGCCCTCGTAGCACCGTACGCCAGACGGGCGGACCGTACTTCCCCAGCCGGTGGTTCTGGCACGGGCCTGTTGGTTGTAGCACTAAGTATTAGTAAACCCCGGAAAAAGTTGGAACCCTGGGCGGCAAGCGAAGGCGGCCATGATGAAACAGCGCTACAAGGACCCATCTGCACCATCGACTGCCACTCCCGAGATCGCAGAGGCTTGCGGCAGCCGGCGCGTCCGCTACCGCGTCACCGCGCACCAGCCGCCCGCGGCCGAGAGCATCGCCGGCTCGACGGCTGCGTCCGTGTTTGAGGCGGCACGGGCGGCGCTGCTGCCGGAGGGCTACCCCGGCTCGGTGCGGCCCGAGTACATTCGCTTCCAGGTGTACGACACGATTCAGGCCGCCTGCTCGTACCTGCGTGCCATCCTCTCAACCGGCGCAATCCTCAAGGCTTCGGGCGTCGGAGAGGCGGCGGCTTCGCCGATGGCGGCGGCGGTCGCATGGGTCCTCCGCGACGGCTTCGGCATGTGTGGATCGCTCCTCTTCGCCTCGCTCGTCGGCGTCGGCTTCGACGAGAACGTCAAGGAGTGGAGGCTGTTTGCTGACCTCATCAACGACGTCGGCCTCACTCTCAACATGCTCGCACCGATGGCGGGCGAGCGCTTCTTCCTCGTCGCCGCCCTCGGCTCCACCTGCACCTCGATCTGCGGCATGGTGGCCGGCGCCACGCGCGCCTCCATCACCGCCCACTTCGCGCTCAGTGGCAGCCAGAAAGCGCCGCTGCGAGGGAGCGCCGTTCACACCTTGAGGGTGCGCCGGTGTGAATAGGGAACCTGGCGGACGTGTCCGCCAAGGAGGGCGCGCAGGAGACGGCCGTGACGCTCGTCGGTCCCCTCGCCCTCGCCCCCTCCCCTCCTCCCCTCCTCCTCTCCCAGCCCTCCCTCCCTCCTCCCTCCCACACAGGCCTCCTGGTTGGCTCCTACCTCTTCGCGCCTCTGGTCGGCGAGTCTGCTCCGGCGGTGTGGACCGCATTCGCACTCCTCACCGCTCTGCACGTCTACGCCAACTGGCAGGGCGTCGGATGCCTCGCCCTCCTCTGGCTCAACCGCCACAGAGCCGTCCTCGCGTCGCGCGACTGGGCCGCCTCCGCCGCACCGCCCTCCGACGCACCGCCCGAGGCGCTCTCTCCCGCCGCCCTCTCGCGGCTCGAGCGGCCGTGGGGGCCCTTCCTCTCCAGCCTGCAGGGACCGCGGCTCGGCGCGCGGCTCCCTCACCTCTGCGCGAGCGCGGAGGACGTCTGCGCACTGCGCGACGCCTTTGCGGGCGAGAGGCGTCCCGGCGAGGGACATGTCCAGGACATGTCCAGGACACGTCCACTGCGCGTGTGCCGTAGGAGAGCGGTACTGGCTGAGGCTCGACCCGGCCGGCCGCGCCCACGTGATGCTCTCCGCCGCAGCCGACGGCGAGGACGCCCTGCGTGCGCTCCTCCACTCCGCCCTCTGCGCCGGAGCGTCGGGCGGCGCGGCCGGGTCGGGCGGCGCCGTCCCGCTCCTCGCCGCCGAGAGGCGTGCGATCGAGCAGTCGAGGGCGCGGGCGGAGGCAGCGTGGCCGAAGTTTTCGAGCGCGCTCTTGGAGGCAGGGTGGGAGGCGGCGGCGCTGCGCAACCCGCCGCTTGGCTGGCGATTCACGTGTGAGTGAGAGCGAGAAGACTGCAACCCCGCCAGCGCGCTCCAGGCCATACGTTCGCCGTGAAACGCGAGGGGCGCGATTTGTGTGTTGCGCTGTGCGCGCGTCAAATTCATTCTTCGTATATTCTATAGCGAATAGAAAGCACCACCTTCCTCGCTATATCCTATACACACATGCTAACATGAGCGTGATCACAGTCCACGGCGCTACTCTCCGCGATTTTTACCAGCGAGTGTCTGCTCAAGAAAGGAGTAAGCGAGCGTCGACATGAAGGCGCGCTGCTTGTTGTTTGCCGCGCCGCCATGCCCTCCCTCGATGTTCTCATAGTAAAAGGTGGACGGCCCCTTGCCCAAGTCGAGCAGCTTGGACACAAGCTTGCGCGCGTGGCCGGGGTGCACGCGGTCGTCGCGCGTCGACGTGGTGACGAGGATGGGCGGGTAGGCGGTGGCCTCGTCCAGGTTGTGGTACGGCGAGTAGCGCTGCAGGAAGGACCAGTCGTCCGTGTCTGGGTCGCCGTACTCGCCCATCCAGCTCGCCCCTGCGAGGAGCTTGTGGAAGCGGCGCATGTCGAGCAGCGGCACCTGCAGCGAGGCTCAGGCGAGGCTCAGGCGAGGTGCGGCGGAGGCGCAGGCACGGCGAGCTGCATCTCGAGCGGCGGCACCTGGCACACGATGGCGCCGAAGAGCGTGCTCCCCGCCGTCGGCCGCGCGAGCATGTTGCCCGTGAGCAGTCCGCCGTTGGAGCCGCCCTGGCAGCCGAGCTTCGCTGGCGAGGTGACACCGCGCGAGATCAGGTCGCGTGCGACCGCCTGTTCACAGCTGCGGGCGTGAAGAGGCGCGGCTCGCAACCCGCGAGGTCGCGAGGTCGGGTCGCGCGAAGCCGCCTCGAAGTCCTCGTACGCCTTGCTGCGCTTCTCCTTGAGCGCGGCCTGGTGCCAGCGAGGGCCGTACTCGCCTCCGCCGCGGATGTTCGCCTGCACGTACGCATGTCCCTTCTCGAGCCACGCCGCGCCGATGCCGGCCGAGTACGAGGGCGTCAGGCTGATCTCGAAGCCGCCGTACCTGTCCAGCAGCAGGGCGCGTGGAGCCCGAGCGGCAAGAGGCGGCCCTCTAGGCCGCCGACACCCGTAGAGCAGCGTCGGCGTCGAGCCGTCGAGCGGCAGCCCCTCCTTGCTGACGAGGAAGTACGGCACCTGCTCGCCGCCACGCTCCATACCTCCCCATATCTCGCCACATCTCCCCATATCTGGCATCCGCTCGCCGCCCGGCGGGGGTAAAGAGGCGCCGCACGCAGCTGCTCGCCCCTCCCCACTACCCCTCTCCCCTCTCCAGCCGCCGGCGGCGGAGGGGCGCGCGCCGCCGTGCCGTCGGCCGACGCGGCGGTGAACTGCTGCGTCGTCACGCCTCCCGCGTCGTAAAAGGCAGGGAGCGCCTTGAGCGCCTCTGCTGCGTCGGGCGAGCTGGCGGCGGCGAGAGCGAGGGTCGTCGGCTGCGTGTACCTGTCGACAGCCCGTGGACTACTGAGACTCGTCGGAGTGCCGAGCGGGCGGTGGGGCAGCGGCTGGGATATCGCCGAGGCATCGCCGAGATCTCGCCGAGATATTGCTGAGATCTCGCCGAGATCTCGCCGAGGGGTGGGGCAGCGTGCGCCCGTCCGAGGTGCGCCAGAGGTCGTCGGACGTCTCTGCGTCCACCGCAGAGAAGCTCGGCGAGAGGCCGGCCTGCGGAAGAAGGAGGGGGGCGTGGAGGCGGCTGGGCGGAGGAGGGGGGGCGCAGATGAGAGGAGAGGCGGGCGTAGCGGCGGAAGGACAAGGAGTGTGGGGCAGGAGAGGAGGAGGAGGAGGCGGGGGTGCGCTCCTCCCCTTTGAGACACCGCTCGAGCGAGAAGGCGCCGTCGGCGTACCTCGAGGAGCGGGACTCGGTGAGCACAAGAGAGGAGAGACGGTGCGTGGAGATCATGCACTCAGTACAATCCACCAGTCGTAATTAGGGCATGAGGGACCTCCAGAATCGGCACTCGGTCACGACGTTGTCGAGGCAGGAGAGGACGAGGTAGTTCTTCGTCTCGGTCGACGCCTGTGGCCGGCGGCATCACGGACGCGTCGCGGACGTGTCCGAGGCCTCGGAGAGGCTCCCTCCCTTCCCTCCTCGGCGCGCGCCTCCAGCGAGCACGTCTCGGTGGGGGTGAAGAGCGGCGTGAGCAGCGCCGAGCGCGCGGCGTCGTCACCCGCCCCCATGAAGCCATCCGCCGGAGCGGCGAGCAGCGCGCCCGCGGGGTGGCCGAGCCACGCGGAGCGGAGCGTCACGAGGAGCTGGTCGGCGAACGTGCCTGCGGCCAGCCTCCGAGAAGGGCGTCGGAAGGGGCGCACGGGAGAGAGGACACGAGCAGGGCCGTCGGCGGCGGCGCCGACGTTTGCGTCTGCGGGGATCGGGATGGGCGCCCAAGCCGCCTCGCCGACCTTGAGCTCGTACGAGGAGGTGTAGAAGGTGAGCGAGCGGTACCGCAGCTCGTACCTAGTCACCATCGCAACCATACTCATCAGCACACAAGTGGGCGAGCGGGAGGATCTCGCACCTCCGCGGTCGAGGTACTACATCTCGGCTGCATCTCGGCTGCATCTCGGCTGCATCTCGGCTGCATCTCGGCTGCATCTCGAGCTCGCACCTCCGCCCGCGGTCGAGGTACGCGAATCCTCCGACCGACACGTCCGACTGCTCGCCCTCGTACACCTTTGTTGCCTCGGCGAGCGGCGTGCCCCGCCTCCACTCCCACACGCTGCGCGGGTAGCCGCTGTCCGTCATCTCCCCCTCGCCTGCCCACACACACCCGCGCGTGAGGGGCAGCCCCTGCGGACAGCCGCAAGCCCGCCCTCCCGCGCGTCGCCGAAGACTCCGCCGACGAGCAGCGTGTCGCGGTCCTTGTACGAGAGCTGGCTCTTCGCCTCGGGCAGCTCGAAGCCGCCGTCTGACACGGCCACAAACTCCTTCGCGTCGAGGTCGAACTCTCTCGACACCTTCGCGTCCGCTCCGCCGCGCGAGAGAGAGACCATCACCCGGTCCTTGCGCACGCCGGGCCCCTCGTCTAGCAGCGTCGAGCCGCCCCACACCCACGAGACGCCTACAGGGAGAGTCGGAGACGCCTCGGGAGCGGCGCCAGCGGGTGCGCCGACCCACACACACGCAGCGGTGCCGCTCTCCGCGCTCAGCGCATCGAGGTCGAGGACGAGCTCCCACTCCGGCTCCGCCTTGCGGTACTCGTCGAGCGTACACCGCCGCCAGATGCCCTGCACGTGCGTCTCGTCCTGCCAAAAGTTGTAGTAGAGCCCGTTGAGCACGCGGCCGATGTATGGGATCTTCTCGTCGCTCTCCATGATCTCGAGCAGCCGGCCGTACAGCGGCTTGTCGGACGGCTCTCCGATCCGCGCGACCGCATCGGCGTTTTGCTCCTTGACCCAGCCAATCTGCTTGTCGCCCTCCACCTCCTCGAGCCACTCGCGCGGGTCGGTGAGGTCTTCGAGCGTCGGGAGAGCCGCATCCGCCATGCTCATCGATGGCGCGGCGGTGGCGAGCGGCCGAGCAGACCCGCGAAGGCGCAGGCCGGCCGACGGAGCGAAGAGGCGCAGACCGGCCGACGGAGCGAAGAGGCGCAGACCGGCCGACGGAGCGAAGAGGCGCAGACCGGCCGACGGAGCGAGCAGGATCGCGGCGGAGCACAGCCGCAGCCTCGTCAACATGTGACTCGATCAGCCGCGTTCGCGGGTTCTTTTCCGGCGTTTTCTCTTTTTCCGGAAGAAGAGACTGCACAGTGGCGAGTCTTCGTTCACGGGTGGGTCATCTGCTACTGGCGAGGTACTCCCATGGCTGTCGGGGTTTTTGTCTGGCCGAGTCAACCCGAGAGGGGCGAGCCTCGGCGAGACTGCGTCAGCTGTTCCCACAGCAGGCTGGAAGTACCTCGCATGAATCTGTAGGATCTAAATCTGGCCCGTTATATGAACGTTAGGCGCTGTCTGTGTACCCTCTCAGCCTGACAAGAGAACAAACCGCTGCTCTCCTTTCCGCGCCCGGGGGGCGCCGGGCGACGGGCCCGGCCGCCAGAGGAGTCGTGGGGCGGGGCGGGGCGGCGTGATGTCGCAGTCGGGCAAGCCCGGCTGCTCGTCGGACGAGCCGCTCGGACGCTTCAACGAGCTGGTCAAGCTCATCCACAGGGTCCAGCGCGAGCGCGGCGCAACCACCGCTTGGCTCGCGTCGCGAGGCCTGGGGTCGGTGATGCCCGGCTCCTGCGGCGCGGGGTCCCTCGTCGTCGACCTGCGGCGCAGGACCGACTCGGTCGCGCTCATAGCCGCGACACGGCTCGGCGCCGACACAGGGGGCATGCTGCGGAAGCTCCGCGACCAGGCCGACAGCTCGTGCGGCGCGAGCCCGCGGGCGACGGCGCAGGCGCCCGCCCTCACGCCTCCCGAGCTCGCGCGCACCTTCTATTCCGTCCACAACGGCTACTCGCGGCTGATTGCCTCGCTGCTGACCCGCGCTCTCGGCGACGTCGAGCGGTCCGTGCTTCCGGACATCGCGATGCTCAAGGAGCAGTACGGGCAGCAGCGCGCCTTCATCTCGGGGGTCGCCTTCCTCCCCGACGAGTCCCTCGCCGCCATGCCCGCGCGCGCCATCGGCATGCTCCTCAAGACGGTCGAGCGGCAGAATGAGCTGCGCGGCTCGCTGCGGCACAAGGTGGCGAGCATGGCGCCCGAGGTGAGGCGGGCGGTGGACGAGGCGCTGGTGCTGCCGGACGAGATCAGCCGGATCGTCTCGGCGATGGAGGACGAGCAGTTCGACCTCCTCATGCTGCGAGACCTCATCCAGTCCTGCGGCCGCGACGCTGCGCTCTGCGGCGATGTCGGCACCAACGCCTGCATCCAGGGGGTAAGCCAGGTGTGACCAGGCGAACATGACCCGGCCGCGGGGAAAGCGCCCCTTAGGAAGCTTCCAGGACCCCCCCCGATGAAGATATCCCCTGGGCGCCTCGATCCCCCCCCCCCCCCCCCCCGGCACCCGCCCCCAACACCCCCCAACACCCCCCCTCACACCCCCCCTCACACCCCCTCACCCCCCCCTCACCCCCCCCTCACCCCCCCGCTCTCAAGGCCATCGAGGAGGTACTAGTGACGGAGGTAGTCGAGCGGCGTGCCACCACCGCGCGCAGAAAGCAGCGGCTCCTCGCCTCCTTCGCCGCCGCCGCCGCCGTCGGCACGCTCGCCCGCCCGCCCCCCCCCCCTTCCCCCTCCTCGCACCTCACCTCCCTCTCTCTTCGCCGGCAGGAGCCCTCGCCTCCACCCTGCCGCTGCTCTCGCCGCACCTCGCCAGCAGCAGCAGCACTCCTCTCGCCGACGAGCCCGCCGACGGCGGCGGCGGCGAGGGCGGCGAGGGCGGCGAGGGCGGCGAGGGCGGCGAGGGCAGGCTCGTATCGCTCCTCTCGCTGGCGGGCGCGCGGCTGCTTCCGTTTCGCGTCTCCATCCTGCAGGCGTGCGCGCTGCTGTGCACGCTCCTCTCGCTCGCCGCGCTCGCCTCGGCGACGGGCGTGCTGCGGGGCAGGCGGCGGCGCGCGAGCGCGCCGCCGGAGCAGCGGACGGGCGACGCCAAGACGGCGCCAGCGGGCTCGTCATCTCCCGCGAGCTCGGAGAAGGGGATGTGCGCCGCGCTTCCGGCCTCGATCTGCCTCTCTTCCTCCTCGTCGGCGGTCGGCTCGGCCAGCAACTCGCGAAAGTCCTTCTCGATGGAGGCGCTGCCCGCACGGCACCGCCCGGTCGCGTCCCCGCCGGCCGCCGCTCCGCTGAGGCCCGCCTCCTTCTCGACGATCGGAGAGCTGCGCGCCGCCGCCGCCGTGGTGCGGCGGCCGCCGAGCAGGGAGGGGGCGGGAGGGGACGGCTCGCTCTCCCCCGCGAGGCCGCTTTCCCGCGAGGGTCAGCGAGTCGACTCGCTCGGCGTCGCGTGGCCGGCCGCCTCGTCGCAATCGCAGGCGGACCTGCTCTTCCGCATGTCCGGCCTCGGCCAGGTGCAGGAGTTTGTGGAGGGAGGCAGCCTGCTGCACGCGCTCGGCCCGAAGCCGCCCTCGACGCAGCCGCCCTCGCGCACGCCGGACAGCTCCAGCCCTGGTCCAGACTTCAACCCGGTGGCGTGGAGGCGCCTCCCCGAGTCGGGCGCAGCCCCGTCACCCGCCGCCGCGAGCGCCGCCGCCGAGCCGCCCGTAGCGGCGGGGGCGCGCCATCGCGACATCTCGCCTCCCTCCGCCGCCACGTCGCCCGCCGCCGCGCCCCTCTCGCCCGCCTCGCCGGACTCGGCGAAGAGCGGCGGCGCCGCCGAGCCGCCGATGACGTTTCGCACCACAGACAACCTGTTTGCGACGGCAGCGCCGCTCCCCTCGCTGCTGGCGAGAGAGGCCGCCACCGCCCTTCACGCGGCTCGCGCTGTGAACAGGTGGACGACCACGAGGCGAGCGATTTCGTCGAGCGGCGCGTGCTCGGGCAGGGCGCCTTTGGGCACGCGGTGCTGTGGGAGTCGCGCCGCAACGGGCTGCTCGTCGTGGCGAAGAAGCTTCTCATCGCCGGCACCACCGACTTCCGGAAGCTGGAGAACGAGGTTGCGATCTGCGCGTCGCTCCGCCACCCCAACATCGTGCAGTACTTGCGCACGTCCCACAACGACACCTACCTCGTCCTCATGCTTGAGTACGCGTCGGGCGGGTCGGTCGCCGACCAGCTCGACAAGCACGCCGCCTCGACGACGCCCTTCGAGCAGGGCCGCGTCTGCCTCTGGCTGGCGCAGCTCTCGTCGGCGGTCGCCTACCTCCACTCGGTCAAGGGGAAAGGGCATCCCCCCCCCCCCCCCTCCCTCCTCCTCGGCCCTCCCCTCCTCCTCGCCCCCTCCCACTCCTCCCCCCCCACACACCACACACACTCCCCACACCCCCTCCACTCCCCACACTCCCCCCACACCTGCAGGTCCTCCACCGCGACCTCTCCGCCTCCAACGTCTTTCTCTCTGCGGCGGGCGACATCAAGGTCGGCGACTTTGGCCTCTCGAAGACCACGGGCGTCAACGCGTCCCGCTCCGCGCTGGCGACGACGATGTGCGGCACGCCAAACTACTGCTCGCCCGAGCTCATCAACGGCGAGCCGTACGGCGCCGCCTCCGACGTGTGGGCCATCGGGTTGATTGCGTACCAGCTCTTCACGCTGAGGCACCCCTTCGAGGCCTCCTCCGTCTCGCAGCTCTTCCGCCTCATCTGCGCCGGCAAGGTCGACACGGCCGCCCTCGCGGCCGCCCCCTTCCCGCCCGAGCTCACCTGCATCGCGGACACCCGCCACCTGCTCCACCCCAACGCCGCGCTCCGCATGCGGCTCGTCGAGCTGCTGGCGCTGCCCGCCCTCCGCTCCGCGTCGCCGAGGCAGTGAGCCGCCAGGCCCCTCGCGCCAGGCCCCTCGCGCCAGGCCCCTCGCGCCCTCTCCCCACCCCCCGACCGCGGGGTGGTGTACCCTTTTCCCTCTCCGAGTCTCCTGCCAGAGACCGATGTACCACGCCGCATGCTCCGTGGGTCTTTAGCTCGACCCCGGGCGCATGCGCATGCATGAATGTTGCGTCGTGCCCCGCCCCGCGTTTGCTCGCCGGCATCGTGTGTGCGTCTCTCTCCGCTTGCTAGTGGGCGCGCCGGAGAGAGATTTTGTTGTGCGCGCACACACACGCATGTGGCGAGTCTGCGCGTGATTGAGGCGGCGGAGGCGATTATTGCCTGATGCCAGATGCCTCTTTTTTTACGGGGTTGTAGTTGTACACGAGATGAACGAGAACTTCGGCAGAATCGCGGGCTCAACCTCGCAGAAGCATACTCTACGTGGCTGGGTTCACAGCGATTGTAGGAAAATTGGGAAACCACCCTTGACGGTCGCGGCCTTCCGACTCGCGCCTTCGCCTCACTGGCACTATTGTAGCCCTGGCCGGTGCGCGTGCGGAGTTGAAGTTCCGGAGTGAAAATTCGAACGCGTTCTCTCACGGTGACCAAAAAATGTCCGCCTCTCAGAGGCACCTCCGGAGGCAGGCCGCTGCACGCTGGCGACACAGCTCCAGCTGTCGAACTGACCCGCAGCTCCTTTCAGAGCGGGAACTGTGACAAAAGTTGACTGAGGCGGTTGTCAGGAATCATCATACGGATCACATTGTGGCTCTTTCATGACGGGAGACCGCCCGACCACTCCTGGGTGGCACTGCCACCGGTGTCGCTCGACGTCCTGTCGACAGCGTGCCGACAGCGACACAGACCATGTGGGACGCGTCGAGTCGAGTATCGACCTCTACTGCTTACCCAGCCTTCGACGTTGGGCCAGGTACCAATTTTGTCGAATTTATTTCAAAGTCTGCAGGCGCGGAGCGCCTGCGAAAATTTTTTGAAGAAATTTGCGGCCGGGCCTGATTTCAACAAGATCTTTCAAATCTGCGGTGTGGAGTTGGGGGGTGGGTTAGGTAGGGTTGTTATAGGGTTAGGGTCAGGGTTAGTCTTGTTGTGTCTGTATATGCCAGCGTTGCAGGGTTCTGCGCTGTGATCTGGCCCCACAGCGCCGACGACTAAGACTCAGCCCCGCACGCTGACCTAGGGTTAGGGTTAGGGTTAGGGTTAGGGTTAGGGTTAGGGTTAGTCTTCTTGTGTTTGTATGCCAGCGTTGCAGAGTTCTGCGCTGGGATCTGGCCCCAGCGCCGACGAGTAAGACTCAGCACCGCACGCTGACCCCACCAAATGCCGCCTCAGGGCGCCAGGCCGCCAGCCACCACTTACACGCGGCCGGCGCCCTCTCGCGGCAAAAGGGTCGAGCGAGCGGGCAGAGTCGCGATGTCTGCGCACCCGCGTGCCGATGGGCGGCACACGCAGCGGAGAGAGGCCCTGTCACGCCGCCAGTAGCGTTCCGCACTCCCCACGCCACCAATTGCCGCCTCAGGGCGCCAGCCACCTCGTCTTACACGCGGCCGGCGCCCTCTCGCGGCAAAAGGGTCGAGCGAGCGGGCAGAGTCGCGAGATGTCCCTGCGCACCTGGGTGTTCGCCGCCTATATGCTCTATCCTGTGCCAAGACGGACACGTTTTGACAATCAAAATCTACCTCAAAATTTGCGGCCGCCCCTCGAATGATTGTGAATGAGCTTGCCAGCGGCGAGGGCGGTCGAGTGCACGGAGCTAAGTGCCTCGCCGTCCTCGCGGGAGTCGCTTAGGCGGCTCCAGTGGTGTACCTGTGTTAGTGCCAGTGCGCGCCAGTCCCGTGCCCAGTGTTGTGCGAGGGAGTTTTGTTGTAAAATTCTTTTCCTAGTTGGGTTGTAAAATTCTTTTCTACTAGAAGCCGTCGTCCGCGCTTTGCCTGTTGTGTGAATTGTGCGTGTGCGAGGGAGTTCTTTGTAGAATTCTTTTTTGAGCTAGACTTCGATGTTAATAGAAACAAGCGAAGGCACACACAACATGACGCCAAACACACGCGATTGCACGCACCGCACCGCACCCAGCACCCGCGCCCGCCGCGCCCCGGCCCCCGCCCCGCCCAGGTGGGAAAGAGACGAGGAGATGGAACAGCCCGAGGAAAGGAGCGAAACAAACACGTATGGGAGGTTGAAATCGTGCACCACGCTGCCCGGCGTTTCTCACTTTCCGGGACAGCCCCGCCCTTGTGAGGCAGGAAAGTGGCGGATACCCCGTACGCCCAGTTCATTAGGACCCCTTTGCGGGCCGCCCATTCCCCTTTCCCTTTTCCAACCTTGGGGAGCCGATGATTGTTGCTTTTGCCCGGGGGGCCCCGGAGGCCCCCCCCCCCCCCCCCCCACCACCACCACCACCACACACACACACACACACCGCCGCCGCCGCGCGAGCGCCGCGCGGCGGCACACCCAGCTCAAAAGAAAAAGAAAAAAGGCGAAGGAGGAGACCAGCGGGGGAGACTTCCCGCCTATGCAACACCCCAGAGAGGGGCTGCCATCGCCGAAGCTGTGCCTAAGCATAACTCCAAAACCCGCAGCGGCCCAGGGGGGCTTGGGGGCAGCCTGCCGGACCGCCGCTGCACGGGGCTAAGCACCAGAAGATGAATGTAGTTGATGGATCGGGCTATCGTCCGTGACTCCCCTCTTTACGTCAGAGTGGGACCTACGCCGCGCCGGGCAAGGGGCGCGCCCGGTCCTCGACGGAGCCGCGCGCCCCAAGCGACCCAGGCGGCGAGTAGTCGTCGTTGAACCTCCGGCATGTAGTTGCCCGTGGTTAGCGGGCCGTCCGCCCTCCGCCGTCCGTCGCTTCGTGTGACCAGCGGAGAAAGAAGTTTACCTTACTTACCTTACATCGAGTTTCGAGGTCTAGAGAAGGGGGGGAGGCGGTGGAGAAGGAGCTGAGGGAGGGTGTAGAGGATGTAGAGTGTAGAGCGCTGTAGAGCTGTAGAGCTGTAGAGCGCTCTGGAGCGCTGTAGAGCTGTAGAGCTCTACATCCGCCGCGGGACAGAGCGATGCAGATGTAGAGCGATGTAGAGGCCCTCTACAGCGTGAAATCTCTACAACAAACTCTACATCATAAGCGGCGAACGAGGCACGGTCGCTCTCCGACATGAGGCGCGTTGCACTTGCCAGTGCTGCCCTGGCCTTCTGTCTGCCCGCCCAATGGGTGGCAGTTGCCTCTGCTGCTGTGGCATGCCTCACGGCTGCGACTGGCCGGCGCCTCGGCGCGTCAGCTCGGCTCGGCGTAGCGATCGTGGCCAGCGCAACTCGCTTGGACTCAACGCTCAGCCAGGAGCTCCCGCACGCGCTGGCGCGAGTCATGGCGCATGCAACGCGTCTGAATGCTCGCCTCGCCTCGCGCAAATGCGACCGTCCTCGCAGCCGACAGTCCACCGCCTGCTAAAGAAGCACCGCGACGAATGCGGCACCGGCGACGCATGGCAGGCTGGTCATGACGCAGTTATAGGGTGTTGTGTGCCGTCAGAGTGACTCTCTGTGTGTCAGGGATAGTCAGGGCCGTCCACCAGAGCTCCAGTAAGCTCGGAGACACCCCATTAGCGCGGCTCGACCTCTTTGAGGCACTGCCTCCCCGGCGGTTTTGCTGTAGAGCCTCTACAACAAACTCTACAGCAAAATCGCGCTCTACATCGCTCTACATCGGACTCACATCGTCACGCGCCGGATGTAGAGGCTAGAGCTCTACAGCTCTACAGCGCTCCAGAGCGCTCTACATCTCTACAGCTCTACAGCGCTCTACATCTCTACAGCTCTACAGCGCTCTACACTCTACATCCTCTGCACCCTCCCTCAGAGAAGGAGGTGGGTGGGAGGCCGTGGCGTGGGGGGGGGGGGGGGGGCCCAAAAAGGGGCCCCCGGCCAAAGGGGCCGCAAGGAAAAAAACTGGAGAAACGGCGCCGGGGGGTAAAATAACCCGGGTAGGAGGGGGAACGCGAATGGAGGCGGTGGAGCTGGAGGTGGCGGGGGGGCGGGGGGGGGGGGGGGGGGGGTAGGGGAAACCGCCAAATTGGGAGGGAGGGGGCCATAAAGGAAAAGGCCGCTGAGGGGAAGGCGGGCCAAGCGGGGAGGGAGGAAACCACCTCCGGGAAGGAGGAGGACCCCGAGGAGGTGGGAGGGGGAATGGCCAGGGAGGTGGCGGCCTGGGTGGGTGGGTGGGGGGGGGGGGGGGGCCCAAGAAAAAACCCGAAGGGAGCCCCCCTGAAAAAATTTGGCAAAGGCGAAGGCCGTAACAAAAAGGGCGGCGGGAAGGAAGGAGGCGGCGGGGGAAAAAAAGAAAGAAAGCAAACACAACCCAAGGGGGGGAAAGGAAGAAAACGGACAACCCAGAGGAGGGATGGGAGGACGGCACGCCGCCACCACACAGGGATTTTCAGGAGAGGAGTGTGGTCGGCGGGCTGAGCGGGGAATTCTTTTTCTCGCGATGTCTGCCCCGCCGCGGCGCCGCTCGCGCCGCCTCGCCACCTCCTCCTCCGCCGCCGCACGCCCGCCAGGCACGCCGCCGCTTGCCTGCCTCCTCGACCTCCCCACCGAGCTCCTCGAGCGCGCCCTCGCTCGCTGCGACAGCCCCGTCGACATCGCTCGCGTCGCGGCCGTCTCGCTCCTCTTCCACGCCGCGCTCGCGGCGGGGGCCATCCGCTTGTGGGCGCAAGAGCGCGGCTTCGAGCTGCCGGCGCAGCCTGAGGACGAGGGCTGCGCCGTGCGGTGGCTGTGCTATTCGGCGCTGCTGTGCGAGTCCAACCCGCCGGCGAGGGCGGCGGCAGGCCATTGGCACAGCCTCTTCATTGACGGCGAGGGGCGGCTCTCGTCGTGCGGAATGGCTGAGAGCTGGCTGCCGGGACTGCTTGGGCACGGCGAGGGTGTGACGCGGCTGAACACGCCCACCCGACTCCCGTCGATGCTGGGTGAGCGCGCTGTTAGTGTGTC